TTCATGTTCTTAAAATTAAACATATGCTTAAGCATTTTAGTGAACTGAGACAGCTGGTCTCTTATAGAAGGTCTGTCTAAATCAATGCAGCATGGATTGCAGATTGTGAATTTTATAACCCAATGCACCACCGAACATTGTTTTTGGTGAAACCTTCAGCATTTGAGATAAATCGTTGCCTTTTGTTAAATATTTGAGACACTGAAACTAAGTGCACCATTTTGGGAGAAAAACACTGTTCGATTTTACTTTTAAACACATTTATATAAAAAAAACAAAACCCCATGTGCTTAAGTGAGCTCATGAATCAGGACCCAAGTGACTGAACGTTCATAGAAAGTGAATAAATAAAAAGTGGAGAACAGTCCTAATTGAAACCACGTTCTGAGCGGGGATGTGAAGGCACAGAAAAATTATTCCTTCCATTTAAGGTATTTTGATAGCAACCATTTACCAGAGAATTGAAGTTATTCGAACCACTTTGTCAGACAAACGTGAACTGCTTGGTTTTTGTCTGAAAACAGCAGTGAGAATATCTTCCTAAATGGAACCAAATCCCGGGGTTTTATAGAAACAGCTGAAGAGATCATTGGATCTTTTCATTAAAAAGAATTTCTTATCAACTTTTTCATTTAGCCATGTCATGGCCATGCTTCTCCTTGCTGAGAAGCAACTTTTCCCCACACCTCCTTTATGATCACTGGGCAAAACTGGCCCTGATTATGTGTGCAGCCACCATGTGAGCTAATACAGAAGAACACAAGCAGGGGACCTCAAGACCCTGACTGCTGCAAACATGGTGACAGGTTATTCACTGATATATATATTTCCAGCTCATCAGGACCTGATACCTTTAATCTGTCCAGAACTTCCATCAACAGCTGGAAAATCCTGGCATTTATCTCCCTACGGCTAATTTTCTCTTTTATATGAAAAGTGGATACAAGGATGTAGGTAAAACAGTAAAACCAAAAATGAAACAGCTTTTCCAAGCAGTTGTGAGGTGGGTGTGACAAAATTGCCAGCTCCTGAGTTGGAAATCCTGTGTCAAACGTCAAAAAATAGCACTTAGAGTTAAAAGGACAAGACTTTTAGAGGTAATAATTCTTGGAGCTTAGCTCTTTCCTTCCTGTATTTCTTTTGCTTTCATGGTTTCAAACTTTTGACTGCAGACCTAGAAGATTAAAAGTGAAAACAAATCAAAGGTGAATCAATGCTGTTTTAATGTGACTCTGGCAGAGGGTTCTTTAAATCAGTTGTGAAGATTACCAGGCTGGCAATAAAATCCCAGGACCCACCAACATCCATTCTGTGTTTCAAAACTATTATCTTCTTTCTCTTTGAGACAGTTAACGAGTAAAGATCTTTTTCAAAAGGCATAAGAGACACTCGGGTGAAGCAATTTCTTCTCCCGGCGTTGTTAAGAGGAGCGACTGGGTTATTATTAATTACTTTTGCATTATTTATGCAGGGCCATGAATGTGCAATGTCCTTTACAGATAAATCACTCTGCCTTGAAAAGTTTCCAGTCTTGGAGCCAAATCCTGCAGTGTAAATCTGTAACAGCAGGAGGCAATTCAGTGCAGGAGAACAGGTAAACCCCAATCCTTGCTGCTGCCTTATCAACCTGATTATTTCATTTGTGTTGCAATTGCACCAAATAGACTCGACTGGTGTCGGTGTTTCACAATCTCTTTCATCTGGCATCAGTTGAAAGGAGCAGCCTCTCTCCTTTTCCTCATTCCTCCTCCTTCTCCTTTCTCTTTTCTTGTGGTTTAGGCCAGCCACATGGTGAACCAAATCGGGGAAATGATCCGGGTTAAGGCTCATCTGGCAAAAATAAGGAAAGATTTAATTTTGGCCAATCTTAACTCAGCTCCTCGAGCGCGGGGTTTGGAGCTCTTCCTGCCCTGCCTGTTTCCTGTGTTCCTCTGCTGAGTGAACTGGCTGGTTACACTCACACGGCCAAGGGAACCGGTGCAGAAGGTAACGTCAGAGCTCCCCATGATCTGGGGGGGTTGAGAAAGGGCCACTGTTACCTTTTGCCTTCAACACTCCCAGCTTTACCCATTCAGTGTGCTGGTCATCTCCTTCAGCTCATTGCAAAACACCCCGATTTCTCCCTTTGGCAGCCTGGGGTGTTCCCCAGCTCTGCACCCCACAAGCTGGAGCCGTGGGGAGCACAGTGGCAGGGAGCACACTGCATCCTCAGCAGCTCGGGGACCTTTAGGAGGTGTGACCCCAGCCTCAGATAACCCTGTGCAGCCCTGGGGATGCCCAGACCAGTCACACATCGATGTCAAGGCCCCGTTGCTCTCTCAGGCTACAGCCCCACTCGGAGCAGGAGGCCCTGCAGTCCTTTTAAAGCTGCTTTATGGGTTTCTTTTCTTTTCTTTTCTTTTCTTTTCTTTTCTTTTCTTTTCTTTTCTTTTCTTTTCTTTTCTTTTCTTTTCTTTTCTTTTCTTTTCTTTTCTTTTCTTTCTTTCTTTCTTTCTTTCTTTCTTTCTTTCTTTCTTTCTTTCTTTCTTTCTTTCTTTCTTTCTTTCTTTCTTTCTTTCTTTCTTTCTTTCTTTCTTTCTTTCTTTCTTTCTTTCTTTCTTTCTTTCTTTCTTTCTTTCTTTCTTTCTTTCTTTCTTTCTTTCTTTCTTTCTTTCTTTCTTTCTTTCTTTCTTTCTTTCTTTCTTTCTTTCTTTCTTTCTTTCTTTCTTTCTTTCTTTCTTTCTTTCTTTCTTTCTTTCTTTCTTTCTTTCTTTCTTTCTTTCTTTCTTTCTTTCCTTTCTTCTTTCCCCCCCACCTCAGGTTCCCAGGGCTGGGGATTCAGCTTCTGGCTTCATCCAGAAATCCCTGAGGGTTTCAGATCCCCACGAGGCCTCTCAATGTCTTGATCTGCTTGAATAGGCATTTTTACCGCGGCCCCGGCTGTCATCGGGGCCTGTTACAGTCACTCAACTGCAGCAACATTGTTCTGGGGGCCGGGACACCTCCCCTATTTCCATACTGCACGGGGGATTTTGCCTCTGGCTTTCTCTGCTGAGCATCACACCAGCTCCATGACCAGAGGTGGCCAATTAGCCCTCCTCACCCACACCCCAACCTCCATCCCTTCATGGCTCTCTCAGCATCTCCAATCCATGGGGCTGCTGGTGCTTGTCCATCTCCCATGTTCCTGTCGGAGGTGAAGGTGACCCCCTTTTCCTGTGCCAGGCTCCTTGGCAACGCGGCTTTTCTTTCCGAGCTGCCTCCTCCACCCCCTGACGAGGAGAGGGGCTGTGAAAGCCCCGCTGCACTTTTGAACTTGCTGCTGGTGTGTTCAGTGGCTGCTCGGGGCAGCACCGGCCGAGGGGCCGAGCTCAGCGGGGACCCGGTGCAATTGCCCAGAAGTTATTAATAGGCTGGAGAAGAATGTGATGGGCTGGGGAAGGGGTGAGGTGGGGAGGGGAGAGCAAGAGGGAGTGAAATGGGGAGGGTCAATGAAAGGGAGATGAGGTGATGAGGGAAGAGGCCAGAGGGATGGCGTGGAGGAGAGACAAAGAGGCAAACGGAGGAGGAGATGGGCACCAGCATGGGGAGACAAGGGTGTACAAAGGCTGGGGCTCTGAGTCCTCCTTGTCCTGCACCTTCTGCAGGTGTCTCATCAGTGGCTGTGCTGGTGGAGAGGTGTCTGACCCCAGTGCCGGGGGATGGAGAGGGCAGGGGGACCAAGCCTGGGGGTTCAGTCCTTGTGCCAGGCATCCCTTTTCTGAAGATGAAATCTCGCTCGGGGTTCATGAGCCACATTTGCCATCTAGTGGCCCTGGGGACCATTGCAGAGGGACCCACGAGGCAGCAGTGGCCACGGCAGGTCACACAGCATCCTAAGCCCAAGGTGCTGCTGCTTTTGTTTTACTCAGTGTCCCTGGAAGCCTGTGGTCCCTGGAGTGACATGACCTTGTCCTGGCTGCGTTGCAGGAAGCAAACCTCAGCCACTATGCCAGCCTCTCGGTGCTTTCCAGAGACAGTCCCCCCTGGTTGTGCAATGACCAAGACCCACAACATGGTTCAACTCATCAGTGCAACAAGGCTTGGAGACCAGGAGAGTGTCCTGTGGCCGTGAGAGCAACTTCTTCACTGTTACACTGTGGGAGACCCTGGAGAGCATCACTGTGTACCCATGGCACAGCAGTGGTCTTTCTCTGAGGCTTTGCATCTTCTCTTTGTTCTTGCAAAGGTACCAACATGTTTATCTATTTTTTTGGCTCCTGACTTCACTCTCCACCACCAGCCACCCCTTTCAGCAAGCAGAGGAGTCTCCAAGTGACACATGGGCATTGGAGACCATCAGAGTTGGGGAGGAACAAGGACCACTGCGAGTTGAAGAAGAGTTAGAGCCTGGGGTAGAACATCTCAGGACCTGAGTCAGCAGAACCTCTTTTGGGTTGTCCCCCAGGAGGATTTCTCTTTAGAAACAGCTCTCCCTGGGTCAGAGAGAGCTTTGGCCACCCAGTCTGTGGAAATGACTGGCAGATAATGGGGGATATGGTGCAGTCAGGGAAAAGAAAGGGGCTCACTGCAAGTCAACGTCCATAGCTTTAATGCACAGCTCTACCGAGCAAGACCACGTACTTCAATAAATAACATTAATAATAATAATTAGAGCAGCCCCAACAAACCCAGCTGTCACCAGTTTGGCTTCTGTGTTCTCTGCTCTGCCCTAGTCAGCAAGGAGCGTGACTGCTTGACTAATGCAGAAGACACAGAAGAAGCACCATCTCCCTCCCCTTCTCAGTTGGGATCTGCTGGAGGAGGAGATCTTCAGTTCCCTGGACGCCAGTCTGGGCAGAGTCTTCCAAGGCACCTGTGGGCTCCCACCCTGCTTCATGCCCAGCATCACGAGGCCTCAGCTGCTCCCTGCCCCATCCGTTAGCCACATTGCCCTTGTCCAAGGACCAGGCATACAGCTGAGGTGTTCCCCGTGTGCATCACGCACCTCATGCCCGAGGGATGCCTGAGGACAACCAGCTCTAGCACTGCTTGTGAGGTTCCTCCAGGACAATGTAAGGCACGACGACAGGCCAAGAGTCGCTGGGCCAATATCCTATCTTTGGCTTGAATGCTGGCATCTCGTAGATGACATCAAAATACATGACCAGTGGGCAGCAGTATAGGAGAGCCATGGCTATCAGCACGTGCCTGCCAAGGAAACCAAAAAGAGACGTGTTGGATGGAGGGAACTCCATCTGCTCCTCCTGCACCTTGCAGCGTTGCATGGCTGGCATTGCCACCATGAAGCTAGAGCCAAGGGGCACAGAAATGGCAGGCAAAGGTCCCAAACCCGGGATGCACGAGGGCTGCAGGGTCCTGTGGGGTTTGTACCTGTGGGGAAATCCTTGAAGAGCTCTGTGAGCCAGGGCTGGGGCAATTCCTCACACAGAGGGAATGGGGTGATGTAAGGAACTTAAGCTCCAACCAAACCACCCAGCCCACCTTGCCTAGCCTAGGCCAGCAGCACTGGGTATCTGTCCCAGTTATCCCAGTGAGGGTGAATTTGAGAATGTGCCCTGTGTGCAGCACTCACAGCTGCGCTTGTCCAGGCACTGAAATGTCTCGTCCAGGAAAATCTCTGCCTTACAGTCTGGTTATTAAAATAACCCGAACCACACTGCACTTCATGGAGCTTCCTGGGAGCAGATCAGAGAATCATTGAATGGTTTGGGTTGGAAGGGACCTGAAAGCTCATCCAGTCCCAACCCCCCTGCCAGCAGCAGGGACACCTTCCACTAGACCAGGTTGCTCAAAGCCTCATCCAACCTGGCCGAGAACACTTCCAGGGAGGAGCAGCCACAGCTTCTCTGGCCAGCCTGGGACACTGTCTCACCACCCTCACACCAAAGAATTTCTTCCTCACATCTCAGCTCCATCTCCCCTCTGCCACTTTCAAGCCATCACCCCTTGTTCTGTCACTCCCTGCCCTTGGCCAAAGTCTCTCCCCAGCCTTCCTGGAGCCCCTTCAGGTACTGGGAGGCCACTAGAAGGTCTCCCTGGAGCCTTCTCTTCTCCAGGCTCAACAGCCCCAACTCTCTCAGCCTGTCCTCACAGCAGAGCTGCTCCAGCCCTCCCATCATCCTCGTGGCCTCCTCTGCACTGGCTCCAGTAGCTCCATGTCCTTCTGCTGTTGGTGACCCCAGAACTGGACACAGCACTCCAGGTGGGGCCTTACAAGACCACAGGGGGTGACTTGTACAGGGGGAGAATCACCTCCCTTGACCTGCTGCCCACGTGAAAGCAAACTGCTGACCTGGAGGGACTTTTAGAACAATTTCACTTGCAAAACATCATTTGGCCAGTGCAGAGGAGGTGAGGGATGTTGAGCAGCGATTTGGATCAAATCCTTGGGCTGGGGCCAGGATGAGGAGCAGCATCAACAGCGACAAAGGAAAAGGGGAGAAGGTTGGGCAGAGATGCAGCTCCTCCCTGATGGGATGTCACAGCCCTGCTGCCATCTCTCCTTAGCTGTGGTCCTTCAGCCCCTGAAATATTTGGGATGGGGTTCCTGCCCCTGTGCTGGAGCCCTTACCAGAAGCTGTGGAAGTAGGGGAAGTTGACCGCCTGCCAGAACCAACAGAGCCATCTGTCACTTATCCAGCTGCTGATGGCCAGTACCCACCACATGACCATGACTGCAGCCATCCGGTGAACCCTTTTGTCATTGCACCTGGAAGACACAGTGAGGGAGAGGGAGAGGAGTATTGTGTTGGAAGGAAAGAGGGTTTTGAAGTGTCCTGGTTCCTGTCTCCAAGTGTTAATGTAACAGAGCAAAACCCAGCGAGTTTCTCCTGGAGACTATTCATCAAACCACGAGAACTGCAGAAGTGTGGCTCTGTAGAGGGGGTTTCTGACTTTCTGTGGGTGAAGATGATGCTAGGAGATACCAGGGCACTCCTATCTTTCTCCTCAGGTCCTGGACAGTTCTCCCAACCCCACACTGGTTCCCAAATCCCCCAAAATGGGAAAGAGCTGCAGAGATGGCAGCTGAGGAGGAGAAGATATACTTGTCCCATGGATTATCCCCATTCTGCATGGCATCTGGGCCAGATGGCCTTCTTGTGTCCCACTGCCCACAGTCCTGCCTGTGCCTCTTCCTAGGTCCCTCCCAGGCTACCTCAATTCTTTGCAGAGCTGATAGTCCCACATGTGGACAATGAAGACTTGGGCACGATTCACTGTTGTGCACAGAGTCACTGTCACGTGTGAGCCTTCCAGGAGCAGCTATGGACCTGCAGATAACCCCTCTCAGCTCCATCCTTACTTTTTCAGCTCACGCCATGTCAGGTACAGCACGTGGAAGGCGATGCAGTTGAGCGCATAAGCGTTGACGGTCGGTTTGATGAAGGACATCAAGGTACTAATCACGGTGGTGATACCACTCAACCAGAAGAATTGCTTCCTAAAGAGAGTTGGGAGTGAGTGTCAGTGCCTCCAAGGTTCACAGTATGGAAGGATAAGGATGGGAGAGGTCCTGCTCATTGCCTGAGAGGAGGATACCCTTCTCCAGCACCTTCAATCTCTTTGTACATGGCTGATCTCAGCCTAGGCAGTAGTCCTGGCAGGAAGGCTGAGGTATCTGGTTATGTCTGTGCTTTGCCCAAAGCCCCCCAGTTAGTCCATGACAGAGCAGGGAACACAGCCCAGAAGGTAACTTGTGCACTTTCATGATGGTGATGAGCATCGAGAAGCAAAGACATCAGGAGCTTTGCACAGGGAAGGGCTGCAAAGCAGGAGTCCCAGCAGAGTCGGGCAGGGGAACATGCAGATTTGGGCTGACTGAACAACAATAGGGCTCAGAGGGGCCTTTCACATGCAAATCCCTTCCCAAGTCCCTTCCCCTCTCCCCCAACCACCCAGTGAACTCCTGGTGACCCCCTCTTTGGCATGGGAAGAGCAGACTTGGAGCAGGTCTTTGCAAGGTTTCTAACTGAGCTGGCTCAGATGGCTTCAGCAAGTCAGCCAGGATGGGACCATCCTTTGAGCAAAGCCCTGCTGGGTTCCTGTTTCTGCTGATCCACACTCACCCAGTCTCCCCATCCTCTCTGCCGAGCTCCTCTATCCCAGCCAGCCCTCCTGTCCAAACAACCTTTGAGATGTGAGGTGTTAACTTGGACCAACTTGTCCTATGGGACCCCACCAGCCTTCAAGGAGAGCTCTCTGTGGATGGCAGGAGATGCTAGGACAGTTTGGCAGCATCAGTAATTGAATGTTAGCGCTCAGGAACATTTAATTTCCTAATTAACTTTGAAATTCTCCATGAAAAGTTTTTCCTTTGCAAAGACAAACAGCTCCAGTGGACGGGAGCCCAGCACGGCCCTTCCCTCTGGGTGGGTTTCTTACTCTTCCTCTGTCAGCACATCCACCACTGAGTGATGGAAGGTCTGGTCCCAAAGCAAACTGCAGTAACCTCAACACTGACCCCTCACAGGGGAGCTGGCTGTGGGCTGGGGGGGTGATCTGTGGGTCACACACACCAAGGTCAATGTCCCATCCCTCCCCTCAGAGCCTGCAACCCTACATCCTTCTGAGTCATACCTGCTCTTGATGCACTTGGGGAAGTAAATCTTTGGGTACCAAAAGGAATATGCCACAGCCAGCGTCCAGAGGATGGAGAGCTCATCCAAGAGTTGTCCCACATAGCTCAGGGTCATGTGAAAGTACATGGAGAAGATACCTGCAAGGAGCAAAGACAGCTTGTGTCAGCAAAGCTCCATCCTCACACAAGCCTGTCTGGCCTGGGAAGTTCTTGGTGGCAATTCCTAAAGACACATCATTCCTGAAGAGCAAGGTATGGACCTTGGTGTTAACGGAGGCCTGGGTGAGTCAGTCCACACAGCACCACGGGGATTTACTGGGCTGGAAGTTGTGCACCCACAGCCAGCAGGAACCATGAGCTGCAGGGCTCCAGACAGACATGGCTGTTTGCTTTCCCTCCCCAACTGGCTCCTGTGCTTTGACCACTAAGAACCAGCCTCCAAAAGCAACATGAATGAACAGTTGAGTACTCAGGCAAACTGTCTGGTCTTCTCACAACCTTGGTACCCACCTACGCCGATGAGCAGGGCAGAGGTGAAATACAAGGGCAAGGCACGATGCTGACAGTACTGCCGGTTCAGGTAGAGCAGAGCAGGAGAGAGGACAAAGAAGCTTATATTGCTGATCTGAAAAACAAGAAACACATTCAGCTTATTGCATGATCTTGGGCAAGTCTCATCCCACCACGTGCCTCAGTCTCTCCATGTGTGAAGAGGATTCTGATCTCTAGTGGAAAGCGTGGCATGGAAGCAGGTATTGCTCTTGGCACAGGGAGAGGGCAGGGGCATTTCTCGAGAAGAGAGGCTGGAACTGGAAGGACAGCTATGTGACAGCAATGGCTGTGGACATCTGTGCAAGCACCTCTGGGGCCAACAAGCCCAGAGTAAGCTGCTGTGGCCCCTTTTGGGTGATGGTTTAACTTCAGCTGGCCAGTGTCTTCAAGCAAGCTGCCAAAGCTCTTCTGTTTGCAGCCACCTTCCTCTCCTGTCAACCCAGGTCTGCCAGAAATTCCTTGGATGGCTTCTGCCCCTTTTGGCCAGCAGCCAGCCCCGCTGCGAGTGGGTGGG